ATTTGTATTCAACAATTAGGGCAGAGTTTCTTGCTTGGGATTAATACCAACTTAGCCTTTGCTTTGTCTGCCATCTCCAAAGAAATTGGTTTCAAGCTACCTTTGATTTGCATTTTATGATTTTTAAATGGATTACATCTTTTTTCAAGCCATTCATAGTCAACAAGGTCTGCTTGTGATGGTAACAGATAGTCTGTATTTTATCCTCAAGTCCTGTTCTATAGGCAATAAGCTTTGCATCCAACTGATCAACTGAAATTAATCCAACCTGTTTATCATTGAATAAACCATGACATGTTTCAACTGTTAGCTCAGTACAATTAGAACAATTCATCTTTAACTGAAATAAGAAACTACTGTACTTCAAATCCAGTGTGCAAGTAAAAAAATCCAAGTAATTATAAAAATACCACCTTTCCCCTTGGATACTGAATGGTAAGTGACACTTGTTTCAGGACCAGACAGTGCATAGTGTAATCTTTTAAAGACTCTTTTATATTCAATTTTATTATAAACTTTCTTCTGATTAAAACAAAATCAAATATTTTTATTTCATGAAAATAATTTTTGAAAAATTATTTAAAAAATTAAAATAAAAATATTAAAAAAGTAATGGAAGCATTTCCTTCAACTACATAAATATGTTAAGTGCCAACTTCAAATATTATGTTTTAAAGATTCACATTTAACTTATGACTTTTTTTGAGAATGAAAAAAATCAAAAAAAATCAAGTGTTTTTTTTGTTTCATGAAAATAATTTACCAAAATAAAATTAAAAAACACAAACAGAAAGAATTTCTTTTAACGCCATTTGTTAAGTGCCATTTACAAATTTTCTATGCACTGTTGATTATCATACATGAGGCAATGTTTACCGCTTTTTAAAGACAATCTATCTGTACAAAAAGTAATATCTGCAAAATACATTTAAATATTTTTTTTTTAAATTAATAAAAACAATCTTATTGAATAGTTTAAGAAGTTACTTAGCACAATATCAACATTTTAGAGGTCATGGAGCATTAGGATGATTGTCTTTAATTATAATCTTTCTCGGAAATCCTGCACATACGTAGGAAAAAACTCTAAATTTGGCAGGGTCATATCTTCTAAAGTAGACATAAAACCCTCACAAATTTTTTTGGTGAACTTGAGCAGGCACTGTAGATGTTAGGCAAAAAATATTATGAAAATTGAAGAGGACGTATTTTTGATAGACTGATTGTAAGCTACATAGGTGAAAAGTTGTTGATTTTGGGGTCATTTATTAGGATGAGCAAAATAAAATTTTCTATCAAGTCTAGGCTTGAAATAGTTAAATATTTGGATTCTACACTTCTTATTTGCCTTACATAGCAAATTTCAGAAATATTGACGGTATGGAAGTATTTTTCTTTAATTTTTAAAAAACACTGAAATTCGGCAATGTTCTTGACAACCTTAATTTAGAGGCAAAATAGGAAAATTCTACACCCCCCTTAAAATTGGAACGGTAAAGTCTAGCACAAAATAATTTGGCACACTTTCCTAACTCATGAAGGGGAACATTTGTGCCAAATTTCAAGTAATTCGGTGTCGGTGGGTGTAATGCCCTGGTGAATTGACATGAAAACGAATTGTCAGTAGTTAGAAATTGAGAAAGCATTACTGACAGAATAGTTATGAAGTGTATAATTATTATTTTGGTGCAGTATTTTATGGTAACACATTGTAAATGACTAGCAGGAATTTCCCCCATTCGATAAAGAGAAAAAGCAGTTGTCACATAATAGTTGGAGAGGTAATGGTTATTGCCAAGTAACTGCATATTCTCTAGAATATCTTGAAAAGCAAAAAAATCAAGAATGGCAATCCAGATCATATCAGGACAAAATAGTTATTGTTCTTTTGATGAAAATCAAAAGTCAAGACATTTTGCATTCGTTCAAATTAAACCCAATGACTGGAGGTTTAAAATATTTCAAGCAATGTAAAATTTCAAATCCATAAAACAAAAGTAAAAAAATAAATTTTTTTTTTACATTATTTATTTTTTATAATTATTACACAAACTGAGAAATAAGTGACAAAAAGTATTTACATTTCAAAGAAATAGTCACAACATTTAAGGAAGAGAGAGAAACTATTTAAATATTTTGAAACCTCAAAAAGAGTAAATAAATACAAATAAATAGAAATGATGGATAAATGTAAAATAGAAAATGGTACGGGGGAAAAAAAGGCTATAGAGAAACTTTTTTTTTTCTTTGTTTCTGAAAGGTCAGGAAGACAAAAGTTACCTGATGTTTATTGGAATTAAATTTCAAAAAAGGTGTTGACCAACTTTAGAGATCATGGAAAGAGTTAAACTTAGGAAGCATCAAGTTCTGTTTTAGTGCACTAGTAATTTGTATTTAAACAGAAAGTCAGATGAAAACTGCAAAGAAACTGTAACAGAAGAATTTAGTCATTGTGAAAGAAAAAGTGAAAAATCAATTGGCAATATTCCATCTGACTTAAGCTAATCCTTTTAATACGAGAGAGAGAGAGAGAGAGAAGTAGACTTAATGAAAAATTAAGAATGAGCACTTTTGTAAAGATTAAGTTCATAGAGTGAATAAAGAAAGAATAAGCCAAAAGAGAAATCAATATGATGAAACAAAAAAAAAAAAAACACAAATAGTTAATCAATATTACAAAAAGTATAAATAAAGCAAAGCATGGACAATAGAAGTATTGGCTCAGTATTTCTCAGAAATAATCAGGTTACTATAATATTTACAACAGGAGAAACATGGAAAATGTAGCTTAATTAACATATTTGAAAGTACAAAGATGTATATAAAATATATAACGTACACAGTTTTAATCAAAAGCATAACACATTGAACTGTGACAAAAAGTAAAATTAGATTCAAGTGTCATTGGTGTAATTTTAAATATAAGAATTGCTAAGTAGTGATGTAAGGGAGATAACTCTGGAATAACATTCAATAAACATAATATCAAACACCTCCTTTAAAGAAAGTTAGAAAAAAGGCTTAAAGCATTATAAAAATAAATAAAAACAATTATACAGTTAAAATTGATACATTAATAAATTCATTAGTGGAAATTATATAAAGCTTGTTCAGCTTTTATATCTATGCATTTTTAAAATGTAGTTTTGTTAATATTACTTGAATGATGCCCATAAAAATGTAAATGTTTGATTAAGTATAGTTGAAACATCCATTGAATATTGAGCAAGCAATAACAACTTTAAAAAATATGGTAAAGCCGATTTTTCAGTTAGTTTTCTTTAAGTCAAGAACCGGGATAAAATTAGCTGAAAAATTCTGATTACAGATTAAAGTTGTTATATCAAGAGAGGAAGAAAAAAAAGTGATTGTAACGGTGTAGGTTTATGTTTGTATGAAGTCAACATTGTAAATAATACTTGTAAACAAAGCTATTGCTTTGTTGAAAAAGTGAAGTTTACCATTTGTAAGAACTGAGAAAGAAAGCCACAAAAATGGCCATAGGAATGAGAGAGGCATTCCCACAGTTCATGTTGTGACCTCGACATTAACCAGGGAGATGATAAAATCAATTCTGCTTTCTATTTTGAGAAACAGTTTCAAAGAAAAAGATTCATGACTCCTTAATTTTTGTTTTCAAATTGGGTTTCTTTCTCATCATTCCAAGAATTAAAAAGAAATTGTTTTGATTTTTTTTTTAAACTATTTTATCCCCCTCCTCCATACACAAAGAAAAAAAAAAAAAAAAAAAATTTTTCATCATTAAAAGTTTGTATTTAAATGTCCATCTACTTGAAATTTTGTTACTCTCATTTACCATGGAGAATTGAATTCGATTATGGACAGAAAGTTTTTATATTGTTGACTAATAAATATGTAGCAGAAAACAAAGAAAAGAGAGAAACAATTCCAAGTGAATGAAAAAAAGAAAAAAATGTCTAAAACCATTGAAAGTATATCTTACAGTGGCTTCTAATTAATGAGGCAGTTTGCACCAATCAATGTTTTTACAATGCTTAAACTGATTATCTGAAAACATTACAAAACTGTTCAACAGAATAGAGACTTCAGTTTTATATAATAAAGCACTACAATGTAAAAACTGAAAGTGGAATAATTTATAGATGTGGATGCATTTATATGAAAATCCATTTAAGTTTAGAAGTATTGTCTACCAGACTTTAGTTTATATTTCTACCAACACAAAAAATTTCCTTCCTTGAACTTGTTTTAAAAGTACAGAAGTTGGATGACAGAAAAGAAGCAATAGAGAGAGATTGAGAAAACAATTCCTAAGAGATGACATTTCAAATTTGAGAACAAAGTGGCTCATTGACATAAGCTCAAATTGGTTAATATAAATGACTAAAACTTGAGTGTCATTAGAATAAAATATTAATGGAGAAACTAAATGAATCACATCAAATGTTTGAATATAAATTGCTAACTTATAGGCAAAATCACAAGAAAATGTTTGATAGAGATACTAATTTATATTAAGTTTTATATCCTTTGAGATGAGGAAAAAATTCTAGATTGATTTCCTGTAAAATAAAAGTTTTTGCCCAATTAATTTAAGCAAAGCTAATAAATTTATAAATAAATAAAAATGGACCCCTCCCCATTCCAACATCCTAGTCTTGGACGGAAAAGAGAAATCTGTACATTTACATCAACTTATTCTTGAAGAAGCTTAAAAACTCAAAAGCTAAAAAAGAATAAAACTGCTCCTTTAGTCTGTGGGAGCAAACAAGTGGAATTGGGGTGTGGTTTATGCAGAAGTTAAAACTGAAGAGTTAAAACAGTTGCAAACAACATTACAATCACTTAGACAAAACTCATTGGTTGTTAGCCAATGCAAAAGACTTTGGCTATGATGCAACGAATTAGCATAAAATGTTAAAATAGTGTTCTTTTCTTGCTGAAGAATTGGTAAGCCAATGTGATTTAAGAACTGATCACTACCACGAAAGTTGGTTCTGTTTGGTTCTGCAATCATTTTAGGATTTTTCCCGAATTTCTAATGGCCGTCGAAATAGCAGAACATGTGGTTCTGAAAAGAAAAATAAATCAAAGGAGGAAATGAAAAAATATGTAGAGGAATGGAGCCAACTAATAAAACAAATCTCTTTAGGTTTTGTTGAATTTGATGATTTTAGGAAGACTTCACAGTAACCTCAGTTTAGTCAAAATAGTTAAGAAATAGAAAAAAATATTATAAAGTTTAAATGTGTATTTTCAATTTCAGATATAAAAGCTATTCACTTTAGCTTAACTGGAAGAAAAAAAAAATCAGTCATGATTAAATGAACAGATATTTTCCATTAGGGAGGGAAAGAGACAATAGAAATATTCACTGTATTTTACTTAAGTAAGCAATTATCAATTAATTTATTGAGAAATTTAGCTCTATAATGATAAATTCTCTAATTGCAATTACAAATATAAACAAAGAAAGAAAATCAATTACAAACAATTGCTGAAAGCAGCAAAAAGTAAAATTCTATAATTGGCACCATATCTAGTTAAATAAAAACTACTGTCATAACAAATATATCTGATTAATATCTTAGGTGATATTTTTTTTTAAGTTTTTTTTTTTTTTAGATTAATCATCTTGGTGTTAAATTTATACAAGTATTGTTGAGTCATAATCAGATTTTCTAAGGTTCCAAACCAAAATCATCCAGTAGATATAAATGTATGAAATTACTGTCAAATGAAAACACATTAAAAGCTATACAATAGGTTTGTTTTTAAAGTCAGACTGAATAAAATTTAACATTCTTTGTAGCAATGCTATGCTTACGCAGGAAAAGATAATCTTGAGAATCAATAGAACAAGTAGGTGTATCAGACTCTGACAAATTATGCACTCCATGACATGTCACATGTTCTCATAAGTATTTAGATATTTAAATCTAATCAAGTGGATTAGAAACAATTTTAGAGCAGGATATTTGTAAAAATCCCATAGAACTTAGTAATATACTATATAATAAACATATTGTAAAAAATAAAATACATAAGTAGGAAGTAAGTGAAATGAATAGAAAAATAAGTAAGAGAAAAATGTTAGAAAAAGATCTTACCTGGAGAATGCACCATGTAATGAATCCAACCAGGTGACTGTTGGACACCCAAATTACGCCACTCAGTCTCTGTCATCAGATGATTTTTGGGCACCAGTTTGGCAATATCACTTGGGAGAATGACGTGCCTAAATCGATAAAAATATTTTTTTAATTTTCTTTTTTGCATTAATTGCAAAATTTAGTTTGGATTTTTCCTCATTAAAATTTAAAGTTTTTCCACATCAAAGAATTCAGTGTTTACAAGACCCTTAAGTTTAGAAAGTGAACAATATTAATAAATGTATTGGAATCTCTTTAAGACAAACCCATGTATAAGGTATACTTAAAAAGACTAAAGGACTATATCTTTCATCATATTTTATTGTAAATCTTTTGGTGCTTGGCTTTCCGCCTATCAGTTCATTGAAGTTAATATTTCATCACATATTTGGAAAAGAAAGTAGGGTATAAGGCGGATTAATATGGTGTTAAAAAACAAAAATAAAAAATATATACAACTAAAAATTTGAAACAAACACAATCCCTAACCGAACATTATTCAGGTGTCAAATTACTGAAGTAAAGCCAAACATCCAAGAATTCAAGGATTTTTATGAATAAACCATGGAGACAAATTAAAATTAGACTTCTAAGCAGACATTGATATTTGAATTTTGATTCATGAGTGGCCAATCCATTTTCACTGATGAAGTAAAAGGATCAAACAAATACATACAACTGGGATTGAGAGAGCAAATATTTGGAGTTGAAAGATCTTGAAATGTACGCTTCTGCCCCCAACTCATAAAGCCTGCACCCCCCCAACTCATTATGCCAGTGCATTTAGAGCAAAATTAAATGATGTCGCTTATACCTTGTCTAGTTATCCTATTTCCTGATCTGAGTCTCCATGTCAGAGTGAACAGTATCGTGTGCTAAAAGGTTTACATTGAAGTTATTCTAATGTAAATAATAAACTAGATAAAGGATCTGGTGTACTAATTTTTAATTGGGATGACCACATTAACTAAATGATATTTATTCTGGATGATAAGGGAAAATTTATTTGATAAAACTATCAAATTAAATTTTCAGATATGTCTCCTTAAATTATTGAGTACTAAATCACTCCCAGTGAATATTTATGAAGTCGTTAAGCCATTGGATTCATTGGGACTGGGCTATGTGGGTTACCTGAAACCCATAAGGTGAATATTCTAGTCTGACACATCTTGTCAATCAGTGGATCTGGCCAGCATAAATTAGGCAAATGGCTGACTGAGTTACTACAACTTGTCCAGGACATGTATTCAAAATATTGTATAAAGACTCATTTACTTTTGTAAATTATATTCAAAATTGTCATTTCACTTCTCAGGATAAGTTGGTGTATTCGTTTGACATTAGCAACTTATTTACTTGTGTTCCTCTTCAGGAAACTATGACCTGATTCTTTGTATTGTAGTCATCTCTCAAATTTTGGAAACTGTTTTTGTTGAGCCAATTAAGTTTGCTACCCTGTCCACAGAGTTTAGCTTCAATGATATCATGTACAAACAAATTGATGGGATAAGGTATGGGTAGCCCTTTGGTGAAAATATTTTTGTGGGGTTTTATGAGCAAAAATTATTTTCTATTGCCTGCCAAGTCTTTTATAGAATATTGAATAGTTTGCATTTCTCTATTGAATGGCAGAGCAACTGTTCTCTATCCTTTTCTGGATGTTTTTCTACAAAGACTTAATTCAAAGAGTATTACATCAGTATATCATAAGGTCATGTTTTCAGGTTTATATACTCAATAGAACACATTTGGTCAAAACCTTAGTCCACAAGGATCTGCTCCCGTAATAAGTTAGAACAAGAACTATAATGTAAACTGTACAGTTTTGTTGTTTTTGCCCCCTCCCCACCAAAAAACTGCTCTGGGTTAGTGAGATAAACAGTATTTCGCATTGTTATTTTTCTGCTAATCCATGAGTAATGTTCTTGTCTCAGCTAAATTTGAAATCTGTTTACAAAGACAGATTGCCTATCTTCAAAACAAGTTCTGCTATTTATTCATTTAAATGCCAATACGATGCTGACCATATAGGAGAGGAGAATTTCTCGGCATGATCAAGGGAAGTCAGCTGAGTGATAATTTGCACAAGTCTATTGCATCTTGTGGAGCACCTGATAAAAATCGTCAGTGTCCTGTGGTGTACCAGGAGAACATGTATTCTGTTCTATGCAGACCTCACTGTAAATGTCATGTCAAAGACAATTTTCAATAAGTCTAGGCAGGCTTCACTGTGTGAACAGAAGGAATGGTCGCATGGATTTAATATGATCAACATATAAATATTCAGTGTTATTTTCTTTTTCTTATTAAATGTCAGTTCCTACTTCTGTACAGTGTTTTCTGTGTTAGCATAAAATTTGGTACTGTTAACAAAACCTCTAAAATCTTTGACAAATATTCTGTTTATAAAATTATTCTTCACATCATTTTAAACAAGATCCATAGAAAATGACAACAAACATACTTACCTGTACTCATATTTGTCATCATAATATCTCTCTGAGTAGGAGATTTGATCAGCTGGCATTGTGGTAGTTAAAAAAACTTACAATCTAATTGAAAAAAATAAATAAATAAATAAAAAGAAAAAGAAGAATGTGAAAAATATTGTTATGAATGTTTAGAAATCTTTTCTTAGACTTCTTGAAGAGTATTACAACAAAATTGTTAATTAAAAAAAGTTCTGATTGAATCAGTCAAAATACATAATTTTACAGGTAAATTGATACTTTTCAGAAAGGAAACATAAATACCAATATGTTACGACTGAAAAATAACTATTACATTTAGTTTAGGCAAATGCAACAACTATTGTGGGACAGAAGTAATATTTTTTAATTAATAATCCATAAAAATTCATATTATTTTATGATGGGCTGATTTTATTATCTGTATATGCTGATATAGTTTTGAAATCAAATAGCACTAGACTATCATCCTTATCTTTGTTGCCATATTTATCACAACATTTCAGCCTTCTTCAGGTGATTGGAATGTCGAATTGGAGTAGACTGTTCTAGTTCCACATGCCATGTCTAATGGATGTCAGTTATCTCCTGTTAATTCCCCTTTCCAAGTTCTCCACCACCATAACCAGGTATTGAATTCACACTCTTTGGGTCCTGTCAATGGATCTAACTAACGCCTTTATCCACTGTACCATGTGTCCTTGAGGACATCTGTGTATGAAATTCTGGGTATTATAAGCCTAATGTCTTCAGCAACCATTTTTGCAGGGTTCAGTTTGACATTCCAACCACCTGAAGAAAGCCGGAGTGTACAACGTCCGAAACCTTGTGATAAATATGTCAACAAAGATGAGGATGATAGTCTGAACAATGTAAATAGTGTACATAATACCTCATCTCAGAAATATAGACAGATAATCAAATAGCAAGTTATTGCTATAATAAAATTATTTTGAGGCATTTGTAATTATTAAAATGTATGGAATGCTTTACTATATATAACAGAAAAGAATTTCACAGATGATGGAATGCGTGCAGCATGGCAGGTCTTAGCTGTGAAGGTTAGAACTGGTGGAACTAAGGAATGTAGTTCATTCAAACACTTTCCATAGAAATATTGATAAAGTAACTATAGGCTTTCAATGTTTTTGTCTGTGGGGAAAAGGTTTGTAGGGTGAAAATAATTTATCACCCACAAGGATACAGAGATAATTTTGGACTATTGAGACTGATACAGCTAATTTCTGCCCGAATAAAGTCAAGTATTGTTGAATCTAGTTAATGCAAAACAACTGAACGTTTGAATTATAAGGCTGTAGGTCAGTCTTCGTATAGTGATCATTTAAAGCTAACTTTTTAAACCTATATTTTTTTTAAATGTCTAATGTTTTCTATTATTGCAACCACACATTTGAATCAAGAATGTCTGATAAGAAAATATGCTAAGTGAGCTTGGAGTATTTGGTTCAATTACCTATAGTAATTTTTATACCAATATAACCTGTCAATCATTGATTATGAATCCACCTACCATTTTTTAATCATCCCTCCATCAAGCAAGGCAATAAAGCCACTAAGATACAAGGGGTTACTGAATGTAAAAGAATACGAGAAAAAGAAAACACTCAAGGAGAGAGAACAATAAAAGAACAGGAATTAATACGACAGAAGATAATGATTGACATTGCATTTAAATTTTTGAAGATCAAAATTGACTGCAAAGCAAGAAATTGGAAAAGAGTTTCATAAGCAAGAAGTGCGAGAAGAAACTGTTAGCATAGAACTTATAGTTACATTGAGGGCCATTTCAACTGTAAAATGATGAGACCTAGCTGCCAATCTAGTACTATGCTTAAATTCATAAAGTCTAGGTACAATAGTTAATCAGAATTACCATGAAAGTATTTATAGAAAAGGTAGAGGGAATCTATGTTATGTTGGTGGGAAAGTGACAGAAGCTGAGATACCAGATCAGGACCAATAACATTGCAGATTCTTTTTTGGATTTCATCAAGAATCTCTAAATATATAGCAGGAGCACCAGACCAGATGTGATAGCAATATTCAAAGCAAGGACGAATGGTAGACATAAATATATAAAATAGATTCTAGCCAGACACAGGAAACCAACTTTCCTAGCAGTAGACTTAGCATTTGGTTCAATATCTCTCCACATCATGTCAGGAGAAAATGTTAGCTCAAGACACAAGGAGTTAGTCCCCTGAAGATTAGCATCAGCCATGCTGATGGAAAGTAAAAAGGGTTCTCTCAGACAATTTAACAAAAAAAAGAAAAAGAAAAGCAGTTTCATTTAGGTGGTGTTAAAATTAGCATGCTATTCTTTGCTCCATTTAACAACAGATTATAGGTCAGGAATAAATAGTTGTGTCATCAGCATAGATACAGAGTTGAGAACTGATGATATTAGTAAGGTTGGTAATGAAAATTAGGAACAATAAAGTCCAAGAAGAAAGCTCTGCATTATAGAAAAAAAAATCTGGAAGAGTGGCAATTCAAGAAAATTTTCATTTCCCAATTTGATAAGAAAGACTGAAAAGTTTGTCCAGAAATATCATAATCTTTCAACTTCTGATAAACATTAGTATGCCAAACCTTGTCAAATGCCTTTGAGATATCCAAAACAGCCCAAACTTCACCATTCATTTGACAGGCATTTTTAGCAATAACCATCAGAAGTTGACCTAGAGAAGTGAAAGCCATATTGCTTATCTGAAAGACCCCACGAGGTGAGATGCTTAACCAATTCAGAGTTAATTAGAGCCTCTAATACTTTAACAAAAAGAGGTAGAAGGCTAATAGGCTGATAGAAGGATCAGATAGTTTGCCAGAGTTCTTAAAGACTGGAACTACAGAAGAGGATTTCCAATAAGCAGGAAAACATGAAGCAGTAAGACATTTATTGTAGAGTTTAGAGAGAACATGGGCTAGTTCAAGAGCACATTTCTTAATGACTATTGCAGGGATATTATCAATCCACATGCTTTGTGGGGATCCAATTTAATGACAGCAGAACCTATAGACAGAGTGATATGAAAATCACTCAATAATTCATCATCTCACAAAAGAATTTAATCTGAATTGTCTTTACATAGGTAGCTTTTGAAAAATACAAATGATATTCCTTGTTATTGGCCATCTTGTTTGGTTGCTAAATAAAGTGTATATGAATAAGTTATGAAAATTATCAAAATTAAAGTTGATTTTTGAACTTCAAAGATATTTTCATTATTCGATTATTAATAAGACTATTAATTTTCTTTTTAGTACATTTCAGCTGATACACTTTAGAAATATGCTGAAGTCTTCAGAATTTGATTAGTATCCTCTCCCTCACCTATTTATTCTTTCAAACAGAAGATACTGGTCTTATAAAGTCTCATATTAATAGCAAGAATGAAGAATAAGTGAAAAATCAAAACTAAACACTTTTTATGTGAAGAATGGAATAATTTGTTGCACACAGCAGAAAATCAAATTTATTGGGAATAACTAACACCTTACAGGAACAATTACCCAACAGAAAACAAAAAATGATGCTAACAAGCAAAGAATAGCAGTTTCTCTAAACAGAACAAGAAACATCATTCCTGCTTCTTAAATCCAGAGGATCTGCAGTCAATTTTACAGTAGTCTTTTATAGAAGAATTACAAAATGAAACATCCACTACAAAAGTTGGTCTTTCACAGGAGAAACAAAGTTATTTTAATTTAAACAATAGTCAAGTTATAACAACTTTGAACTCATAGCACTAAGAACCCCTAAACTTTCCCTATGCCTGAGAAAAAATTATTCACATCACCAAGAACACATCAATAATTTCTTCACACAGGGAGTCAAAAAGGGCAGATTTCAATTCAGGCTCATTATTTCTTTCACACTTAACAGTAGACATTAACACTCAGTCCTGTGAGTCATACTATGGGAAACCTTAGAATAAATTCCATTCACACCTGTTCTCACTGCAAGTACAAAACCTTAACATCCAGTATCTTGATTTTGTTGAAATAGGAGAATAAAAAAAAAAGAAAGAAACTGATGTAAATTCTAAACACTGAATAGAACAAACAACTGAAGAAAATAAAAACATTCTGCTGATTAAAATGTTAGCAGAAACAAAAACAGTCATTGAACTCACAAATGCCAGAGAAACATCTTTCAACTGATGATTTAATTCCTGAATCTGACAGAACTGAAAATTCATATATTCTTGAAACATAGAAAGCAGAAAGAGAAAATCCACCCCCTTGAATTGAATAAAAGGTTCAAAATTCCAAGAAAAAGTTACAGAGTACAAGAAACAAGATGAGTAGACTGGACTGCATAATTTCATTGTTTCAGCATTTTACTTAGAGAAAATTTGAAGACATTAATTTAAAATAGATCTATTTTATTTTTATTATTTATTTTTTTTGCACTGTCATAGGAAGTCTGTATAAACAAACAAAAAATGAACAACAAAACATATCATATATTAGGTACATCCAAAGATACACTAAAAAAGAAAATGAGCATACATGATAAAAAAAAAAAATGCCCCAAACTTAATAAAAAAAAGTTTTATCATCAAAATCTTTGTTATTATTAAGGGGAAAGACCAAAGGATGTTTTTTATTATTCAATTATAATTTTTTAATCCTTTTGAGAACCCTTGAAATTTCGGTTAGGAAGATTTTTTGTTGCGTCAACAGGTGACTAAAAATTAGTATGGGAATTTGAGTGTCTTTTTGCATTGAAAAACACTGTTTTGGAAATCCCTGCAAAAATCATATAATTGTTGGATTTTAATGAAACTTTCAGTGCTTACTCACAAATGAATGAAATTATTTTAGATTTTTTTTTTCACATGTTATCCTCCTCCCTACTTATTTATTTTTGTAGAGTTTAATGTTTATATTTGTTATAAGGACAAGTCCTCAGAAAATTTAAATAATTTTTGTCAAAAAAAAAAAAAAAAAAAAAAAAAAAAAAACCCTCAAGTTACAGATAATCTGGTCTGAAATGTAAAATAAAAAAATACAATAAAACTAAGACATTATTTAATTAGAAAATTTTTTAATTACTTTTATGAATAAGATATATTATACACAATATTAGGAAATTTTTTTTATTGATGAATAATGGAGTTTTACAAGAATTGTTTTCATTTAAAAAATTTTTTTAATTATAATAATTTATAAAGTTTAAAATTTTTTAAAATTCTGTATTAATTTATAGTGGTTAGGTGATATTGTTATTAAGTAAAAACTATATTTATTAATCATATATGGAAAAGCTTACTACAATTTAGTGCTCCCCAGTATTCTAAAGAGAAGAATTTATTTTTTTGTGTATAAACATGTCGATTTTTGTAATTATGGATGTTCAAACACAATATTATCACAAAATAAGAGTGGTAATGACAGTAAATTTATTGGTAATTTTCTATCATTTCCTCAATAAGCATCTTTGTAAGTAAGACTATAAAGCTAAAGTACCTAAGATTCAATAAAATCTCATTACTTAGGATATTTTCCTAAATTTTCAAGATTCCTGGGTAGTTAAAAAAACAAAAATGGTGTTCACATATGTCATGTAATTTTTAAAGTTATGTGCTCTTTAAAACTGCCAAATATTAAGCTATTGCTAAATCTATCAACACCTCAGAAAAACAACCATATCCTTGTTAAAAAATACTTTTTCTGTTATATTTTAAACAAAAAGAAATATTTGTTTTAATTCAGATTAATTAAAGTTTAAATCAGCAAGACTTCCTCAAATAAAGTTTCAGAAAAGTATATTTCATCATTGAAAGATTTTTTAATAAAGAGAATAATGCTGTGTTGACAGATTTGTCAATATAGCCAATTTCAGCGATTAAAAAAAAAAAAAAAAAAAAACTCCAATCAATTTAAATTCAGTTTGGAATACAGCAAATTATTTTGCTTAATGGAAATATTAAATTTAATCTATTAGCTTGGAATTAAAATTAAAATAAAAACTTCAAGATTTTTCATTTTTAAAATACATTTTAAACCTTAAGTATTGCTTTTTTTTTGGAGTGAGGTATCTATCATATAGAACACATTTGCTGCAAATGTATTGTATATGCTATGTTAAAACTAAAAGTAAGAGACAGGTTGTTGAGTTCTGGTTAATTTTTTGTTTTACAATGATTAACATCTTGTATAAGACCCGAGAGCCACTTGAGGTAGAGGGTTACAGAGTAAGAGGCACAGTTTATGTAGATATGTGGGGAAGATAACAGTTAACTCTAGACTCGAATGGGTTAAAGAGTGTAGTGATCAGGGAAACATCTACTTGGAAATCAGTTCCACAATGCAATGGTTCATAAGAAGAAGCTGCTCATGTGGAACATCACACACCAGTTGATTAAGAAGGGAATAAGGGTGGTTTACCACAATTTGCATAGCATGGTGGGTATTAGCTGTGAAGGTTAGAACTAGTGGTACTAAGAAATGTAGTTTGTCTGAGCATTTTCCATAGAAATACAGCAGAGTACCTAGCAACCTTTTGTCTATGAGACAGGGGTTGTAGGGTGGAAAATAATTTGTCACCTACAAGGATGTGGAAAGGTTTGTTTAATATTGAAACTGGACAGTGAAGATTGGGCAGTTCCTGCCCATATATGGAAACATTACTATGCTATTTTCAATCTAATCTGGCTCTTGTAACAGTAGCAGGAGGAATCAAGAATCTGGTACAGAGAACAGCGCCCATTTTCCCAGCATCTTTAAGTGTTATTGTTAACATAAAAACCGTTTTATTCTCTCTGGAAAAAAATTTATGGGCAATAATACATAAAGAGAAGCTTTTATTTCATTTTGAGGTGAAAGAGTTTCGCAAAATTAAATTATAATTCAAATAACAGAGGCATGAAGTTCAATGTTCTTTCTAATGGTTAAAAAAATGTTCACATTTTTAATTTGAAACCTGTTTGCTCTGAATCTTTATTTCATTTTAAAAATAAGAATTAGCACATGATGTGAGTATTTAAGAAAGCAATAAGAAAAGAACAAAATATTCCTAGACATAGGCAGCAGAATGAGAATAATCTACTTTTGCAAATTAAATAAATGATTCAGTTCAAAATTCCTTGTCCCGGAAAGACATACACCTGACGAAGGCTAGAGAGAACAAAGTCCGAAACGTTGTGATGACAACAAAGATGTTGACAACAGTGCGCATGTAAATAAAAAGGATTACCTACGAGTCATACCAGAAATTGAGACAAAAAAATGAAGTAACAAGTTTTGAAGTATTTCCACATTTATACAAGAATAGTCGGAAAAATACATTGGTGAGACTTTACCTAGCAAATAACTTCAGACAATTAAAAAAATTATTTTTATTTAAATATTTTATAGCAAAAAAACCTAAAATTTTTTTTAAAGACTTTGTTTTTCAGTGTAATCGATTTAATGTGGAAATAAACATACAATTTTCATTTCTATTGAAATAAGTTCAAGAAAAAAAAATGTATAAATTAATAACTTTTTTTTTTTTTTAGAAGTAACAAATAAACCCCGAAAAACTTTTAATTTGTTTTCAAATTAAAACTAAATTGTCAAAATTGTTACGTTTTATTCAATCAGTTCAAATAAGAAAGATGTTTTTAATTCAATATTACAAGAAAATACTATGTATTAAAAATTAAAATGCTGTAATATTCATTTTTAATTAATATTATTCGTAAAATGAATAAGTCTTTGTTTTTTTAAAGCATCTTTTTTGTCAAACATTTCAAAACAAATCAAGTTGATTAATTTTTTTTATAAATGTTTTTTAAAGAAAATTTTAAATTTTCTACAATTAATTAATACACTTTTCCTTATTTTAATAGTAATAACGAAAGAAATAATTAAAAACCTAAAATGAGGGAGAACATCTCGAAATTAATGAAAAGTAGCGAAACAACGCCATAGATTGGAAGTGAATGAAGAACGAAACAAAAAAAAAAAAAAACATGGACAACGCTAAGATCGGGAATGAAGTTTCTCTTACCAATAAAATCGACAATTTGGACGCGTAGAATCAGTAGAAAGATCCTCAGATAACGTTGTGGAGATTATGTCGTTTTCTTTTCCTTCAATCTACGCTACAAATAACTCAATCAATCGAATGTTAATTGGCGCCCAAATCTTGCTGCTTCGTTCCTGTTGTGCCACTGCGACATTAGAAATTTCAACAAGGCGCATGCTCAAATCTCCCGCCTCAGTACGTGACGTCATCAGAACATCAAGGGAGATCACTCTCATTGTTTTTCACTTAAAAAAAAAAAAAAAAAAAGCGAGACAATGCGTTTTTAAAGCTACGACTAGAGTTGTAAAAATTTGACCCTCAAGTTTGCTCTGTGATAAACTTAGTATTTATTCACATCGTACTCTACTATTGTGACGTTACGCAGGCATGGCTTACATATCGACAAAATGGTGTGATAGATCCAACAAGAGAAATATAAACTATTAAAATTTACCGTGGCTTTAAGTTACCGCCACGGAGTTTTTTTGTTTTTTTTTTTTAAATAAGGTAAATTTGCTTTTTAACGTCCAAACGCCCGCGCGCTAAATATCCCTTAAAATTTTCCCAAATCGTCACAATTCCGTGTAAATGTTCATGCTGAACTCGAATTAACAATTAAATTATGAAGAAACCTATCGTTTTTTGGAGTTATCGACAAGAAAAAATCGGACTTCTTGTTGGTCATTCGTTCCCCCATTACTGCCATAGTGTTCAGTAACACAGTGCGGGGTACTTCCGCTAGCGTAATCAGAAATTGTGGCCTATTTACTTCTTTTACAGACTTTCGGTGCAGAAAATCACTACGCACTAGCGTAAAGAAATGTAATTTTGTTTTGTAAGTGTAGTTTTATGTATAACAAAATACAATAATTTGAAAACAAAAAACATAATACAATTGAATAAACCCTTATTTCGTTTCTAGCATTTTTTTTTTATTTTGTAATTTTATACATAATCATGCTCTTTCTTTACCAAGCGTTATGTTTATGGGTTAAGTTTAGGGTTAGGGTGGGTTTGGTTAGGGTTCTTTCTGTGTAGAAAAGGAGACAAATAAAAAAAAAATTTAAATAATACAATATACCGGGTTAAGTTTAGAGTTAGGTGTTAGGGTGGGGTTTTTCTTTCTGTGTAGAAAAGGGGAAAAATTAAAAAACTAAATAGAATAAACCGGTTTAAGTTAAGACTCTTCTTAAACTTAACCCGTAGATATTTAACGCGCGGGCGTTTGGGTGTTAAAAAGCAAATTTACCATGGTAAATTTGCTTTTATGAATGGATGGCAGAACAAAAATAAATAGAGATGGTAAAGGGAAAGAAGAATTACAGCAACAAAAGTGGAAAGCCATCATCGCTTTTAAGTCCTTTAACGACGTAATACATAAAAAAGAAAACGCATAAGTCAAAGGGAGGTAATCGCGTTGCACGTATTCCAAGATAAATAAAAACTATTTCTTAGATGATAAGAGAAGTGACTATTTCTTTGACAAGTAGACGAGAATAAAACAAACAAAAAAGATTTAGCCTTATGACGTCAACAAAAATTGATATATCTTAAAATTAGGATTAGATACAGTGGGTCTATAATTTAGAGTTTTAATAAGTTCTCTTCTGAATGTTATCAAATAAAAAATACAAATGAAAGTCATTTTCTCCCTCTTAGAGACTGTCTCTCGCCCTTGTGCAGTTTAGAAACCTAATAATTTCCTTTCTATCTAAGTTCAATTCAAAAATATCAGCATTTAGTCACTAGCTGAATTATGATCTGAAGTTTTAAATTAAAATCAACTGAAAAAAGCATCTTTATTAAAATTTTTTAATAGAGATGCTTTTTTGCATTAACATAGATTATGGATGTTGTTTTTTAACTGAATCTGTAGATTTTTAATGTGTATAGTGACGGGAAATTCTTTCCTAAACCCTGTCAGCACATTGTTATTATTGGGTGTTGATGTTTTCTCTTTTTTATTATTATTATTATTATTATTATTAATGCTTTCATTATTTTTTGCCATTTTTTTTACATGTTGGTGAGGCAATGGTTGTATTTTCCACAAGTATGTTATGGATAGTGTTAGGTAGGTTCCTGTGTGTGAACTGGCCCCGATGATCCCATGTGGTGAAACCTAGGTAGGTATTACCTGGTTCATTAGGATTTATATATATATATATATATATATATATATATATATATATATATATATATATATATTAAAAATATTTTAAATAATATTACAATATTAAACTCTATTTTGTATCAAGCACTTTTTAAAAAAATAAGTGCCAAAAAAAATTATGAGTTTTATTTTTATGGAATCCATATATATATATATATATATATATATATATATATATATATATATGTATGTTTTATGTATGTGATAAAAATTAGGAGGATTTGAGATAATTATAATTAAGTAATTCATCGAGTCTAGACGGTTGTTTTGTCCTATATTTGGGACTCATCAGTAGTGTGCATCCACTACTGAGAATTGGAACCTGGACAGTTACGTTATCATATAAATATATATATCTTATTTAAGTATATATCTTATAAAAATAATTCCCTACTTCAATGAAAATATACAATATTAAACATAAAGTATCATAGACTGCATCATCACCACCATCAGATCTGTTTCAACTTGGGATTTCTTCAGCATGGCTGCTCATTTCTGAGCATGTCCATCTGCTTGATCACATTTGTGCTTCTTCAGCACCCACAGAACCAACCTATGCCTCAACTATACTAAGAAGCAGACATTAGTTAGGAGACAGATGATTTTGGGATTCAGAGTCCTTTTCCTATACTGGTTACCAACCATGGTTACAGAGTCCAGTCTACCCTACTATTTCTAACCCATAGCATGAAAAGATGAATTACCTTTGCCAAGGGTATTTGTGTGAAAGTGAATGAAACAAACTGTGCCGGAATTTGAACTCGGCTCTCCAGTTTCTTATCCTCTAACCATCTCTCTCTAACCGTTACATCATCCGCACATTGTCACGTTCTGCACATCCAGAATACAAATATTTTCTTTTTATAAGAAACTTAGGATTTTGATGAGTACTCAGTTATATAGTTTTGTTTTAATTTTACTGAGTGACTTAAGCTACACTGATAGTAGACATGGAATTGCTTAACATTTAGTCAAATTTGAGTACAGTTGCTTAAACAAGTTTCTTATGCAAAAATCGTGTATTATGAACGTGCATTGGCTTCTTAATATTTTATTTTAAATTAAAATCAAGGTGTTAAAAGTTCCTGTCATGAAATGTTTAATATTATACATTAAGAATTAAAGTTACCTCCCTTAGATTATCAAATCACGAAAGGATAATGACAATTCTCATTCTTTTATAACGTTCCAATTGAAATATTTTCCGGTCGTTAAAGATTGACAGCATGATATCAGAATAATAAAAAAAAAAAAAAAAACTTCTGACAACCGTTCTACTAGTATTGCTTAAAAAAAAGTAGCAAGAATATGACGAAAACTATCCCAAAAATTAATAAAGAAAATATTTGATTTCAAAAATTCAAATAAAATCTGTTTGAATTTCTGGAATGAGGAGTTATTACTTACACTATTGTCTCATAGCCAAGTGGATTAATGTGTTAGTCCATAAAGTAATTGTGAGTTCAATCCTTAGGCCAGGCAGTGTGTACTTGGACTCAGTGAAAACAGGCAAGCAATAACTGAGCAGTAATAAAAAATAAGACCAAGATGATATCCTTAGCAGTGGAATGAGAACAGTCTATCTCCATAGATTAAATAAAGGGTTCAGTTCATAATTCTCTGTAGGTTACCCAGATTGATATACAGTTGAGGAAGGCTGGAGGGCACAACAGCCAAAATATTGTGATAACAACAATGAAGATGAAGACAATAGTCCAAATATAAATAGTGTAAATCACTATTTAAAAATTTAGTGATTCCCAACCATTTTAGAATCTTGAAAATACATGTCCTGGTGAATCCTTAATCTATATAAGTCTTTGCACATACATGTGTATGAAAAAGAGAGACAGAGATCTTACAATCCAAAACTACTTTTAATTGCTTGTTGATTTTAACACCTCCAAAATTAAACTTCTCTCCTTTAATCATCTGAGAGACTCTGGTCTTCCTTCCATTGGTATGGTTGATGCTAACCTTCAGGAAAGTGACTTGTTGCACCTTCTTGGGCTAACATTCTCATCTGACATGAAGTGGAAAGACTATATTGAATCCATTGATAGGTCAGCTGCTAAGAAATCTGGTTGTGTGTGTGTGTCTACGTACCATAGCAAAGAGCTCATCCAAACAATTATCATGAAAGTATTTATAGAAAAGGCACAGAGAGGCAACCTTACAGTGATGGGAAAGTGACTGAAGCAAACTGCTAGATCAGGACCAATAATATTGCTGATTCTTATCAAAAAATTGCTAACATCTTAGAAATAATTAATAAAATGCACAACATTGCTTACATAGATTGGATTGTTCTTAAAAATAAGGAAAATCTTTTTGGGGAATAATTTTTATGGATTATCATGTTACATTCTGCAAAGTGCAACATGTTTGAATCGAGAAATTTTGATTATCATTTGAGGTGGATCATATTTATATTATTGATAGTGTAAAATAGATCCCTGACTTTTTAAAGTGTCTTCTGGACTTGTGTAAATGTAACAAAAAAAACCCCCAAAACTGTTTCACCTGGCAAATAATTACTTGTTTAACCTTTAGTACTTTGCATTATTAATATTACTTCTCTCTGCTGCATTCTTTTTCAATTGCAATATCTTTATTGTTAATTCAAAATCAAAGTTGTTCTGTTATCATAGCAGGATATGACAACACAACTATGAAATAATCAGTGATCAGTCACCTTCAATCACAGGATAAACTTTTTGTACAGCAAATGAAGTCACATACATAGTGATAAAGTTTAAAATAAAGACATATCAGTTCATTCATTAAAGAAGAGTAATCTTTTTGTAAAACATGTAAAAAGAAATCTACTTACTTCATCAAGCAGTTGCT